ATTAGGAGAGTAGATGTTTTAGATTCGACTTATGTTAAGAAAGATAGAGGTAGACCTAGGAAGAATTGGGCCTATGGTATAAAAAATAAAAAAAGGATCTTAATTTATTAGAACTAAATGAAAATATGATACTAAATAGGACGTAATGGAGAAAAAGGGTTCATGTAGCCGACCCCACGTATTAGGATTAAGGCTTTGTTGTTGTTGTTGATGTTGCTGATTTTGCTATGGTTTGGGAATAGGAAAGAAATTTTTTGGGGTGATGGCTTGTATATGAGCAGATGCTAGGAAACCATAGTATAGAACTAGGGTTAGGCTAGTTCTGATACTAAATGATACCGGAGTTAACCGAAATAACGGTAGAAAAAACATATAATATTACCAAAAAAAATTAGCGATTACAATCAAAATACTAGAATGGAAAATACAACAAACACAACATGAACTCATGCTAAGGCACGTCCCATGGGTGGTGGAGGTCAGCTAGGTGTCTGGGGTGCGAAGGTAGATGGCTGAAATGGGGTTGTGGGTAGTTGGGACAAAGGAGAGGCTGGAATCGTGTTGGTAGCGAAGCATAATGCTGGGAAAACAAGGGCAACAAGTGAGGTGGCAAGCGAAGCAGTGAGGCGCGGTTGGAAAGGCTGGAGCAGCTAGCGGAAAGCAGGAAAATAACATATTGAATGCTTTCCATATGACAACAACGAAGTAGCGAAGCAAGGGGGAGAGGGGTTTGAGGGGGGCTACAGGGCAGCAAGGGGCAGCTGTCGTGATGGGGGCAACGTGCAAGAAGGGTTGCAATGGAAAGACCGCGGTGGAAAAATAGCAAAAGCTGATGCCTGGGGGTGGCCGCAACAGGGAAGGACGACATGGAGCGGTGGGGTGCGATGGGTGTAGGATAAATCACCATATGGAAACCAAGATACAGCCGAAGTGAAACCTAGGATATAGCTCTTAACGGGAAAAAGAGACGCCAGCTCCTATCCCGATACAAAACATATAAAAAACTAACTTTCAAACCTTAATACAATACATATCTAAGAAATAACTAAAACAAAATAAGGATAATAAGAAAGAAAGTATAAGAAACAAAACAAAATTATTTCAGTCTGTCTCCTGCCAAAGCTATTCTCGCGACACTGCATCAGCCTGCGATATTGCAGCAGCTACAGTACCACGGTAATTTTATTGTGGTAAGCCCCATGCCAAATTAGTTCCTATAAAAATACATGAAAATAAATTATTAGGTCTAGATGGTGAGATATGGAGAGCTTAAGGGAATGTTGTAGTTGTTAGAGTGACAAATATTTTCAAAAGAAATTTGAAAACTAGGATGATGCCAAATGATCTGAAAAAAATATTTTAATTAAGGCTGTAATTGAGCCTAGTCGAGCCAAGTTATCTTGTATTGGATTTGGTTTGGTCATATTAAAAGCTGTTCATGTTTGCAGCTCAAGCTTAAGCTGAACTTTCACTTCATTCTTGGCTTTAATTTTTTATATAGTTGTATTTGACTTGAATTTAGTTTATTTAATTAATTGAAGAAGTGTTTTAACGACTTTATAAATAAGATAAAATTTAAAATGAGTATAGGTTTTCATATATAGTTATTAATAAATTATTTTATATATTTAAATAAATAAGTAATTGAGGAAATTTTAAATTAGTATCTAACCACTTTACATCAATGTAAGGATAATATGAGTTGCATGCAACTTTTCTAACAATGAAACAATATCAATACGTGCTAATAAACTTATTCATTGAAATAGAAAAATAAGAAATTATGTTAATCTAATTTATGCGTTGACATTAAATTATAATATTATATTATATAACTAATAGTTAATTCAAAATTATAATTAATATTAAATTATAATATATTATTATTAAGTTATATAAATTATAACTAATTAAATTTTATTTAAATAATATATTATATATGAAATAAAATGTCGTCAAACCTAATATATTATATATTCAATCATTTAAGAAGTTATGTTTTGAGCAATGAATGAGTTCATTCGTGAACGTAAATAAGTAAATTAGAATGTGTTCAAGTTTGGTACATGTACATTTAACGTTTGAGTTTTAAAAAAATGGGTGTTGAAAGAGAAACAAAGCAATATAAAAAAAAAGATATATAAGAGATTAAGAGGACTTGAAATCAAATTGGAGTAATAATCATGTTTGATGATTAATCTAATATAAATAATAAAAATATTATTAATAGTCTAATAAATAATTCATATGATACTATTTTTTTTGAAATATGTAGAAAGATGAGCTCAGGTGAAGGATGCTGATTATATTTTTGAATTATTTAATGGAGTGATAGATGAGATTATAGAGCATTTGATAATTAATATTGTGATAATCAGTGCTAGAGCTTATAGAGAAGTTGAGAATAGGTTGATGGAGAAGAGAAATATATGTACCAGACACCTTGTGTTGCATGATACATCAACATGATTCTTGAAAAAAATAATGATTTAACCTAGCATAAAAATGTCCTGATCAAAACAAAGAAGATTACTAAATTCATTTGCAGTCATTCTTGGGTATTATCTTGAATGAGAAAGTATTTAAGAAGGAATCATACGCCTTGTTACAATAAGATTTGTGATAGCCTATTTGACTCTACATAGCATGTTGAAAGTGAGACAACTATTAA